ATGTTTTTTGTTTTGCCCCCCCCCCCCCCCCCCAGTAGTTTTAATGTTGTGGTTGACCCAGAAAACATTGAGAATAGCTGCACAGTTATGTCATCCCAAATCTTTTGATCATATAATCCCAGGCTCAGTACTGATTTAGTTTAAAAAAAGTACAAATGCATTGGACCCATGCATACAAGTGGTTTGGTAGCTGCAGATAAACACTACTGTTTCACCCCTACTGCCTACCATTATGCACAGTATAAAAATACAGAACATCCTGACTGTACCTGAGTGAAATCGTGCGCTTGCATAACAAACAAGTTGGTAATTCTAGGCGGGGGGAAAAAAATGTGGCCTCTGAACGTGCCCTTGTGTTGTCCACTTGACGCGTAAATACCCGCCCGCATCGTGAAGTCATTTGCCAGTTCGCCACCATCCATCATAGGGCTTTGATGCCTGCAGGTGACCGTCATATTTCCGCCGGCCTCCCGTCACGTCCGCGCCGCGGGATTCAAAGGACGCGTTGAGCACAGCTGGAACAAAGCCGGCCGGAGAGGCATTACCAGGAATTTCACATCTGTTTTGAATGTTCCCAAAGAGGCAGTGAAGCTGAAACAAAATCCGCGGCTACAAACTTGTTCATAGGGGAGATGCTATCGCCTTCTTCACAGGCCGACTCAATCACGCTAAGAGCACACTTTTAAGGCACGTTTGCCTTTATTGGGAAAATGTGTGGGCAGGCATTATTCCTAGATTACGCCTTCATCAAACGAAGTGGAAGCCCTTCTCCCGGCAAATCACATTGTGTTCCCACTCCATTCCAATCAGCTGGAATGTTTCTGAACTCTTCCGCCCTCCTGAACTCTGCTACCCTCGCCGTAATCACATTCTCGTCCCAATTGAATTAGAAGCCGGGGCCGAGTGTTAAACTGTACAATCGACTCAATTTACAGAGGTGGCTCATGCGCTGAGAAAGGGGGGAAAAAAAGCCCCTTCAGATGATAGGTCGACAAGAAGACTGGACTTGCCACATCTTTTGCTAAATTCCCTTTTTGGCTATGTAATCCACCAAGCACCTTTCTCGGGTGATGCTAGCCTCTCGCCCTAAACCACTTTGCACAGCAGATTACAAGCGTGGCGCCTCAGGTGCCAGTCGACCCCCCCCCACTCCCTCCCCTTAGGAAACATTTTGTGCTCTTCCAAGAATATTGGCACTAGTGCTCCAACAAAATGATAGCAGGGTTTACCAGTAACCCTTTTTGTGTTTTTCATTGAAATGCCGAAAATGTCCTTGGCTCAAAGGGAAGTTTGGCAAAAAAATACGTTGACGTAAAATGCAGAATTATTAAAAATGCCATGACGGTGCTGATTTTCTATTTACTTTCCAAAAAAATGCATTTGTAAATTTTAGATTGGGTCACTTCAACCGCAACGAAACAGTTTGGGTAAAAATGGTTGCTTTTCCCCAAATTGTCATTTTATGGTCTCAAAAATGCAAAACATGCATTGCCGTGAATAAGATAAACGTAAGACCTCAAATTTCATGTTTTGTTTTGTGATTTAGGTAATTGGCCTTAAAGGGGAAGTCAAATCATAAATATTTTTTAGAATAAAATGTTCTGTACGGCCCCACCAGTCTAAACACGGGTCTTTGGATTAATATTACATTTGTGCAAAATGAATCAAACAGCAAAAGCTGTCTGTTTTTATCCATCGCATATTCCACAATCGCAACATTATTGAGGATGCCGTGTTTAGACTAGTCGGGGCACATCGACCATATTATTGTTAAGAACATTTTTGACTTGACCTCCCTATTAATAAATATCTGAATCCGAAATAGCCCCGCCTTTTTTTTTTTTTTTTTGACCTCCTGTACTCCCAACAAAGCCACACTACCTTCTATGTTGCGTTATGTTAACATGACCCTGTTGGACACTTTCAGGACTCTTGGCTTGTTGGTTAAGCGTCTGGAACGCGGTGGCAAAGCCCAGCAACAGGCCCTCTTCCAGGAGAACGACTGCATTGTTAGAATCAATAACGGGGACCTGCGCAACATCCGCTTTGAACAGTAAGACTATTTCCCGAGACACCACTCCTGGACTTTCGGATGGCCTTGCTTCATCCTGCTTTTTGACTCTTTGCTACTGGCACCTGGTGCCCAAGGCTTGCGCTAAGTGAACCTTTTACAACCGATTCGGTCCTTGCAATCCTTTCAGCCTGGATGCCTTTTTAGAAAGCTTGTGGACCAACCATTCTTTTGACCACTAATCCCGCTTCTTGCATCAGTCCCCCGTCTACCTAAACCCACCTGCCTCTTTTCCCATTCCCGTATGCTGCGTGGAGAAATGATAATGTAGTGTGTGCGTGTTTGTTGTTTTTATACTTTCATACCAACAGCTATAATTCAGAGGATATATATATATATCTACCACACACAGAAATGCACATACACACACAGTTGCTAATAGGTTTACAGATTCTCCATAGCCCAAAACCTGAGATTTGTATGCGGTTCCGCTTCCAGCGGCAACATTATCCGAGAATGCTCGCGAATATGCAGGGACGGTTTTTGGAGAAGTTAATCTTCACTGCGGTTGAGTAAAATTGAGACTGTCACGATCGTCTCGAACATGTTAGTGCCAACTGCTGAGGAAAGGCAAAGGTGTGATGTACGGGTAAGAATGCGAAAACATCAAGAATCCGCAAATTGTCAGCATCAGAGCCGTGAACAAGAATACCGTGACGCTAGTTTTTGTGACTGGCAGTTTTAGCGTCTGGAATTGTCGGACAGAGATGGTTTCTTTCAACGCAATAGTGTGGGAGAAGTGATTGTCGGATGCAAAGACACGTCTTTTACGACTGTGTACGGGTTGAAAGTGTGTGAAAGAGGCGCCTGTCAGTCCAAGTGTTGTGACTTTGTTGACACAGGTGCATGCAGATCACGTCTCTCCGGGAGCTGCTCTACATATCGTTGTCGTCTGCTACCTCATCTACAAGTTCATCCTCCCCCTGGGAATGCTGCCAAAAAGGGCTCCTGGAATTTCACAACACATTTTCACGCCGCGGGAATGCATTAAAAGCCTCTTTGCCGCTTTGGCCACTCGCCTGAATGTCCTCTCTGGACAAGTCAAAGCAACATGTGATGGAGGGCAGCAAATGGTGCCAGTGAGGATTTGCTGCTGTCAACATGAGCTTCCTTTTGGGGGCTTTTACTGTATGAGCTCACAGCGAGTAAGGGGTTGGGGGCTCAGTTGAGCAGGAGATTTTCTGTCCATCCAAGTGAGAGTACCAGGAGATGGAACCATAGCAGTAATATTGAATTTATCACGACGTTCATGTGGCCAAAGACGGATTTCGGATATAGAAAATAGTTGACGGGGACGAACGATTGCTTTCAGCGCAAAAGAGTCTGAAAATTGAGTGTCAGTTGTTCAACTTGGCATCCCACTCAGGCTTTCAGCTATTCCCTTTCACACCACCACGGTTGATGCCTCTGACCCTACCATGACACCCTCCCAATTACTTCCTTAAAGACCTACCCACTCTCCACCAACCTACTACCGACTTATCCACTTTTAAATTACTTACCTCGCTACTTGCCGCCGATCTTCTGACCCTACTACCTAAACCCTTATTAATGGAACTTACCTACACACATCCAATTCACTGATTTACCTACGACCTTCAAGCCTGCCTTCAAGCTACTTACCTACTTGCCACCAATCTAAGAACCTACATTCCTACTTTCAAGCTTCTTCCCAAACTATTTGCACCAATCTACTGTCCTCCATGCAAGCTACTTAACTACATACAAGCTCAAAATTTACTGCCCTAACAACATACATGATACTTTCAAGCTACTTATTAACTACTCGCACGTCTTCGCCTTCGTTTGTGTTTAAGATTTGTGATTTTATTCCTGTTTCCTGTCTGCCCAGGGCCCAGAGCATGTTCCGCCAGGCCATGCGTTCTCCCGTCATCATGTTCCACGTGGTGCCATCTTCGGTGAAAGCCCACTACGAGCATCTGTCCCAGGTCGAGAGAAACCCGGCGTACTCGTCAGGCCGCTTCACCGCTGACTCGGCATCCAGTGCCACGGATCTCACGCCTCACAGGATGTCCCGACACGGCTCCCAGAAACAAGCGCGCACTCATCCGCATCCAGAGCAGACGGACGGCTACACGCCCGCCGCCGCTCACCCGACAGCCATTTCTGCCGCCAAACCTCCCACCGGACAGATTCACTCACCGCAGAGGGGGCTGACATCCACCCCCACGCCGACATACAACAAGAAGGTCGGGAGAAGGCTCAACATTCAGCTTCAGAAAGGTACTGGGGGGAAAAAAACGAAACACCTTCAAATTCAAATGGAAATGGAAAAATGCTAATTAGTTGTTATGCTAACGTGTAGCCATATAGCAGTTTAAACCCTGGCTGAGAACCCTATTTTAAAACCCTAACCCGGGGCCTTAAACCATCATTTGAAACCCTAACTACAAATCTTGACCTCTTCTAGAAACCTGGCTAGAAACCCTATTTTGGAACCTTACGATGACTTGAAACCCTAACGACAAACCCTAACCCCAGCTAGAGATGCTGACTCGAATCCCAAATCCCTGTTCGAAACCATATTTGAAACCCTACTTTGGAAAACATAACCCTGACTTGAAACCATGAGGAACGCTAATGAAGTCTTAAAATCTTCAACATTTTTCAGACTGAACTGTATTTTAATAAATGTCTTTGGGTGGGGAAAAAAAGTTTTTTAAATAAGTATACTCTCTTGTTGCCCATCCATTTTAGATTTCAGCATTTTCTTTTTCAATTCACGTAGGTGGAATGTGTCGCAATATTTGAATCCACATGTCCCGAAAAGCAACAGGTGGGCTTCCGCACAGCATTTTGCGCAGAAATTTGGCGTGGCCTTAAACAGACGTCTTGGCACAGGTGACGCGTGCGCACCTCTGCCAAGGCGTCAGTCGGGGTTGTGGGCGAAGAGCTTGTTGCTTAGCAGCCGCCAGTGCTGCAACAAAGACGGGACTGCAACCTCCCAAAATCTCTCCCACCCCCCCATCTCCCCTCCATATCTCTCTCTCTCTCTCTCTCTCTCTCTCTCTCTCCCTCTCTCTCTCTCTCTCTTTCTCTCTCTCTCTCATCCGTGACAAAAACAAAAACAGCTGCTTCTTGTTGTTTGGTCTTCCCCCTGAAATCTCCTCGTGTCCCCTCGCTCTTTCTTTCGGCGGCAGACGTTTGCCGGGAGATTAGCGGCACGTCTCTCAAGAGGACCGTTCGCCTCATCTCTCGTTTTGTTTCCACTTAATCCCGCCGCTCCCAGCACGCCTTAAACCTCTGCCTGGTTTATACTTTTGAATCCTGCAAATAGCAAAGTAAAGTCGCGGCAGTGGGTATAAAAGGTGTACGTACACAAGTAATAAAGACATTTTTCCTCCTTTATTGTGACCTGTGCAAATCAAGTGGAAAGACTTTCCAAGTAAAAATAACTGATAGGGTTTCAGAAGTGTGCATCTTGGGGCTACGATCAGAAAGAAGCAATCTAATTCAAACTCATGTTAAATGTGAGACAGCACACACCTGCCAGCTTTAAAAGTGCCTCTAATTTACCCCAAATAAAGTACTTTGCATTTTGAAATACAACAAAAGGATTGCCGACAAACGCATCCAGCCCAACCACATCACCAACAAGGATGAGGTGCCGCTCACTTTCGACATCCCGGTGAACTACACTGTAGAGAAGGGAACCAGCACAGTAAGGATGCGTGAAGTCGCCTTTTACTGTTGTGCTTGGTTGCCATGGTAATGGACGGAAACGGCCAAAGTGACGTTGCGAGCGGCGTGGGAGCGATGGCGAAGACAGCTTTACTAAGACTGGCAGGCGACGCTGGGCCAGTTCCGCCACGATTTGTGAATTCTGCTCATGTTGTCTGTTTCTTAGCAGGAATCACAATCACTTCTCACGTTTTTTTTTAGAAATAGTCTCGAGATCTAGAAAGGTCGGAGAAGTTGCTCACTTGGCAACACTGCCAGCGTCTTGCTGACCTTTGTGTAATTAACATCCACTTAGTCCCAACTTCTTGCTTTGCGCACTTAATTCCCAGGCACAAATATGAGAGTAGTCTGGACAGGATGGAGGCTTAGTCATCATTTCCTCTCTCTATAACTGTCCTCATAATGGGATGTTGATTCACTGCTTTATGCTTTCCAAAACATGCCTCCAAGGAGAACTGTGAAAATCTCCCCCCCAAAGGCACTTTTTAATTGTCCTGTGCTGTGAAACAAAACGGGCTTTCCTATGGAATTTGTCCAATTGCTGCCAAATTTTATTTGTATACTTGACAGATTATGGCGCATTTGGGTTTTCATCATTATGTAGTGAAGTGTAGGTTTGACTTTTGAAAGTTCGGCAACTCAAACCAGTTTCACTTAGCTGCTCATCAAGAGTCGACAGATAAAAATGGCCTCAAGGACTCCTGTTGTCAAATAAAAAGGAAATCTGCCGTAATTGGTTTGAAGTAACCAATTTTTAGGGACTTAAATCCAAGATTTGTCCAAGACTGATTTGACATATGTGTACCTTCCGGTATATACTTGAGAGCAAACATGGAAATGAATTTGTTGAGTGTGTGCTGTCTCGGCAGCAGCAGCAGCTGCGGGTGTCAACTCGCTCACTCTGCGTGTGTCCCTCCTCCCTCGCCCTCCGCGAGATGATTGTCATCTGCTGCTGTATTAACTGTCGATCAAGGCCAAACATGGAAGCAGGAATGTGAATCAACTGAGATTTCCATGCAACACAAGAGTGGCGAGGTCACATGACCGATATCGTCTTCATTTCGACATTATCTTTAATGTTTACATTTCACTTTCGATACGATAAAAATATATTACCCAGCCCTACTTGTGAGTTTCATTTGATCGCTACCAAATTTGAACAGATAGATGACATTAAATACAAACCTGAGCAATAAGATCATGAGGGTCCCCCCCCTCCCCCAACTAATTCAATTCATTTTAATAATAGCTAAATTGTGAAATATTAAGATTTGTAGTCATTCTGTGTGGGTGCACAGCCCCAAAATTGAATGACTCGCCAAAGTACAGTCCATCTAATTTAGTAAGTCAGCCACATGGATTTTGAGGGACAAGTCTGTCAAGTAGACCCACAAAAAAGGCTCCAGCAAGCATGCCTGGAAAGACAAAGGAAATACACTGGTTTGCTTTGGACCGGCAATCTTAGGCTCATAATGACCATTTCCGAGGTTCCTTTAATGACTTGTCCTAATACTTTGGTTATCAGATCTAGCCTGCAAGACAGGGACAAGAATATGTAGTGACAGGGATTGGTCGTGTCCACAGAGCTGCACAGGAAATTCAAAGAAAACAACCATGCTATGATTGTCTTAATGACATAAATATTCCCTCTGGGTGACGCCTCAACGTTTTGTTTAGTCTCAAGTTGATGGTCTATAAATGGACTTCCTGCTTTGACTGTGGTCTCACCCCCGCAGGGCCCGAAGGTTTGGGCTTCAGCATCACGTCGCGCGACGTCCCCATCGGGGGCTCGGCGCCCATTTATGTCAAGAACATCCTTCCGCGGGGAGCCGCCATTCAAGATGGACGCCTCAAGGCAGGTGACCGATTACTCGAGGTGAGGATGTGATTTTTTTTTTTTTTTTTTTTACTGTAAAACATTCGACTGACATTAACTCTTTAATTCCACAACATGTACTTGTACGTCTTTTTAAAATTAGGCCCCGCCTACCAAGGACGTACCTGTACGTCTAAGTCTTTTTTTGCATCATAGAGAGGAGGAGGGTCTGATGTAATCTGTGAATGAGAATAAGCCGTTTGCATTGTAAATCATGTAAAAAAGTGACCAGTAGGTGGCAGTGGTGCCTCACGTACTTGAAATGCATGCTTTTACAAAAAGCTCTTTTTCTCTGTTTTTTTGCCCAGAAATCGCCATTTTCATGAAACTCAGCCATTTTGTAATGCCGATTGCTGAAGAATGGAAAAAGATAGAAGCAAAATTATTTTTCTGCTAAAAGAAGAGAGTCCAAACTTTATTTTGGTAGGCTCCATGTTTATATAGCATTAGAACCAAATATTCTGTGGGCCTTGCAAGATCAGTCAAAATCCAATAAAATGCTGGGATTGAGGGGGTTGCTCCAGTGAAAATGGCTGGGATTTAATGAGTTAAACTGGAATTGGAAGTGCTTTCATTTGAATATATCACTGTAAAATGTTTTGTCAATGATTTGAGAGTGAAGTTGTTATGAGATGACATCACGTATTCCACCTAACCGTTTTATGTTGAGAAAGCTCCGACGTCACTGGTATCTCTTTTGCTCAGGTGAATGGGATCGACCTGAATGGACGCAGACAGGAGGAGGTGGTTTCCATCCTCAGGGCCACTCCAATGGGGGGCACTGTGGGGCTGCTGGTCCTCCGCCAGGAAGACACCTTCCTCCCCCAAGAAGCGGTAAGTCTTTTAAATTTTATCTCTGCTTGATTCTTTGGCCGCAAAATTCATTCATTTTAGTCGCTGGGGACGTTGCTGAACACTAACAACATGGCTGCCTACAGTGGAGTTACTTTGCAAAACCGCAGTCAGTGTTGGTAACTTGACAATTTGGTCAATGTACGAGTGATTTTTTTTTCCCAAAAGTTCAGTCAAAGAGGAAGCGCCTCATACATGTTATCTCTAAAGATGGTTTACTATTATTTCTATTGTTTATGTCAGTTTATTTTTAGGAAAAAAACGTGTTTGGTGTTAGAAGACAATAAGTACACTGCAAAAAGGCAAAATGTGTTATTTTAGTTGCCATTTGTCATTTTATTTCAGGAGAAAGTGCTAATTTTCGCAGTACAGTGAAATCTTAGTTTACATCTGCCAGAGTTTTTCTACAATTCAGATTTCAACAATTTTTGTCCGATCTGCTCAGCATCGCTCAGGCAACATCGAAGATGACACATCCCATCCAAAGTCAGACCTTCAAAATAAAAGCATGCAATATAACAACAGTTGCACCACACTTTCTTTGGCCTTTGGTGGCTTATTTAACAGTCACACTTAATGAACAAGCACAGAAATAATTTTGAGTGCAGCGACATCAAGAATCTGAAATGAAGTTTCGAAATGGATGTCCAGTATTCTTTTCTGCACTTTATTAGTCATTTACAATGTATTTCTTTCTCACTGTTTTCTGTATTTCATTCTAAAGTTATTCTTTATATAATGTATTCCTGTTCATATGTGTAAATGGAACAGATTGACTAGATTTGCATTATTTCCAATTGGAAATAATGTTTTGTTTTCAGACAATTTGTTTTAAAAATGTTTAAATGTTTATCTTTTATCAGGAGAAATAAAGCAAAGAGCTGAACTTGTTCGAAAGGGTGGGAGGGGGAGTCACTTAAAATCAAAAGTCACATTTATGTGAGGTGAAAAAAAAAAAACAATTCCGATTTTATTCTTGGGAGCATTTCTTGCATCCCAGCGCCTCCTTAGGGCATCTGGTGAGGAACAAATCAAGTGGACTGCTAATAAGTTTGAAAGCATCCAGATGTCGGTGCTAATTGCCCCATGTGGCAAATGAGACGTGATGTCCCGCACATCTGCCGCCATCAAACGCTGCCTTAGTAAGTGCGCTCGTAATTACGCACGAGATTGAGGAGGAATGTCCACGCGTCCGTCCGTCTGTGTGTGTGTGAGGAAACTTTGAGTCTTTCTCGGCCTCAAAGCTTGTTAAGACATGGAATAGCTCCGTTCTTTTTCGTCTCCCAGTGGAGGCTAAAGGAGTGTCAATCAAGCGGCTTAGTGGTGACAATTCTGGCAAGCAAGTCAAAGTTGTCTTTAGATGAGAGCGGCAGGCACACGAAAAGAGCAGGCAGGCTCAGAGCTGAGGGTGAGGCATCATTTTTCAGCTTGGGGTGGGGCACGGGGCGGTAGGGTACTTTTGCGATATTACTTCTACTTTAATATCAACTTGACATTTACAATGACAGACATTGAACGTCGCATGAGCATCCTCGTTGAAATCTTTTCAGCGCAGTCTTAGGAATTGCTGGCAAGTGGGAAAATGTACTACAAGGTTAGCTATACAACATTAAAGGTGGTTTTTAAAATACATTTGAAAAGAATTAGTTCAATGTTTTTTCTTGTTTGAAAAAAAGAAAACCACCCCAGATCAATGTTTTCTCTTGAATATACACTCAATATACAGTACAATGCCAAGTGATAAAATAACGAATGCACAGCATTAGGAAAAAAAAAAGGTAATTTCCATAACTTCTATTTCTATCGAAGAATTGTAAAAAATCTTAAAAAAAATTTAAAAAGTTTTGTTTAGAGAAAAAAGGGAAATTCTCCTGAAATAATGTTTTTTTAAATGGATGCTTTGATATTCAAATTTAAATTTGCACTTATATTTTAGTGCAAATAAAATTTCTCGTTAAAAGACAGTTTACCTTAAAATATCTGCTTTTATTTTGGAAAACAGTGAGCAACATATTTGCCAATTCTTTTGGGCCAAACTAGAAACTGAATCATAATAACTGTATGTCAGTTTGAAATAATGTCTTGTTTTTTAATATAGGCATGGAAATTAAAATAGTTTTTAAACCGATTCTTTGATTAATCCACAAAATAATTTGTTGATTAGTAAGTTAGTTGCAGTCAAATGATGGTCAACATTGTGACCCTATTGAGATGTTGTCTTGGTTGCCGTGTGTGACATTGTGACATGTGCTTGTTGTTTGTGTGACCTCCAGCAGGGCGGCGAGGCCCAGATGCAGATGCAAAGCCCCAGAGATTTGGTAAGACCCCCCCATCAAATCTCATCCCACTCCTCTTGCTCCTCTGTTTAATCCTCTCTGCGTGGACGTTTGAAATCTGCGGCAAGTGGATTAAAAAAATAAAAACAATGTTTGAGTTTTGCAGTCACGCAAAGGGAAAGTGAGGCTAATTTGAATCCTTCATCTCGTATGGATGTGTCAGGCAGGGGGAAAAAAAAACTCTCTTCATTTGTAGGCTGCGAATGAGCTGGTCCGTCTGGATGGCAGCGCATGAGGTGAATTCTAACAATTTTTTTTTTTCCCCTGGTCGGAGGCGGAGGGAAAAAGTTTCTGCACACATCTGCTTTGGAGGCGCGCTTTGGTAATGATCCCGCCTATAAACACTAGGGAGCCCCAAGTCAACATAAGGCATCTGTGGCACGTTCCCCCGTCAGGCAACTTTTGGAAACTGTTGCAACAAGGAGACGCAAACTTCTGCACAGTCACACTTTCTTAAAAGAAGCTTTCAGTTGCACACAAGTCTCCACGACGTTTTGTGCGCTTGCGATCAGTCAAGATCGGTCGGGTGTGCCTTTCCAAAACAATCACATGAAACGCACGCATGCACTTACACACGCACTCAACAAGTCCTACTCACTGGCCTTCCTGAATGGGTACGACAATGTCAACGATCTCATTATATGCTTTTTACTTCATATCATGCTTACAACAGATGGCTGTGTGTGTGTGCGTCCGTGCGTGTGTGTGGATAGGTTCCTGGCACAGCGCCGTCTGCACAGTATTGTCGAATTGCAACATAAGCAGCCACTTCCCATAAGCCTCTGTGACTAATGGCCCCTACAACATGGCACACCGTCTCGCGTTATGGCGCCATTACGCCATCATCATCGAGACATGACGGACGTTTAACTACCACCGGCGCAAGGCATAGTGCTGTCGGGAAGACAAGAATGTGTATTGTGTGCACTTGTGTTTGTGCGAGTCAATGTGTGACTGCATGTCAGAATAAGGATGTAAGAGCTATGAGTGAGTGAAAGCAAGAGAGAGAGAGAGAGAGAGAGAGAGAGCATGTTTGTTTGTGTTTGTGAAACAGTCAAGGAGTGAGTGAGCATGAATAAGTGTGTGTGTGTGTGTGTGTGTGTGTGTGTGTGAGTGAGTGAGTGATGGGGACTGAGTGAGTCAAGTGACTGTTGCCTTCAAGTGTGTGTGCGGGTGCGTGCGTTTGCGTACATGTTTGTGTGTGTGAGCTCAAGAGTGTGTGTGAGACTGGGTTTTTGTGTGTGCGTGTGAGTGAAGACATGTGTCTGTGTGTGAGAGAGAGAGAGAGATTGAGTGAGTGAATGGGTGTGTATGTATTTGCATGTGTGTGCTGTGAGAGTGAATGAGAGGGAGATTATGAAAAACTGCGTGTGCATGTGTGTGTGTGTGTGCGCGCGCGTGTGTACATGGGAATGAGTAAGTGCAAGTGTGCATGAGTGAGTGAGTGACTGTCACCTGTGCACATGTGCAAGAGAGAGTGCACCTGAGAGATGAGTGCGTGAGTTTGTTTTTGTGTGTGTGTGTCTGCGTGTGTATATGAGTGAGTGACTGTCGCCTTTGCGTGAATGTGTGGGTGAGTGAGCGCGTGCGTGGGCGCGTGACTGACCATTGATTGTGTGTCTGAGTGTGCGTCGTGAAAAACCATGAGTGTGTGTGAGATGAATGTGTGTGTGTTTTTTTGTGTGTGCGTGCGCATGTGCTGACAAGGAGGCGGCATCCACCAGCCTTCCACCTGGCACTCGGTGCACCTCGACTCCTCGGTGCATTTTCTGCGTGCTGTCAGCCAGTTGACTGGTCGGGTCGCCACGGAAACGACACTGCCGCGGGGCCCGTGTCGAACGAAAGAAAAAGAGGAACGCATTCTGCATCCTTTTTTTTTTTCATTTTGCCCCTCCTCCTTCCTATCTTTCTTTTTTCATCCCCCTCCTGCTCTTTCTTCCCTGTTCCTTCCTTCATCCACCTTTCTCCTCAGTGATCTCCTTCTTTCCTGTTCTGTTTGTACTTCCTTCCCTCACTTCCTCCATACTTCTTGTCTTCATTTCGCTATCTCCTTTACTCCTTTCTTCCTGTATTTTTTTTTCCCATCTATTTATTTTTCCCGAGAGAGAAATTTGGCCTGCAGTGGCTTTTCTCTGCTGTCAAGATGACATCTCTGTTGGGTCCAAGTTGAACACGGCTGCCGACCCGCTAATCATTCCAGACACTGCACAATGTGGAAGCGAGTGTGTTACTCGGGGGTGTGTGTGTGTGTGTGTGTGTGTGTGTGTGTGTGTGTGTGTGTGTGTGTGTGTGTGTGTTAGTGTAAAAATAGGTAATTGGTCTTTTCACATCGAAAGGGAGGAAAGCATCTCTTCATTTGCCGAAGACTTGAACGCTGAAGGCAAAAAAAAAAAAAGGAAAAAAGCTGTAGCTGGTAGTTTGAAGCAGCCATTCCACACTCAGTTGCAACGCCCGGAAAGTAAAAAAAAATACAAGTAAAACATTAGCCACCTGAAATTGAGTGAATGTGCCATTCATAAGAGGACGCACAAAAAAGTTTCAAGGATCCATGCTGAAATTGATTTGATTGGCAAGAAAAAAAATAGCTGCTGATACCAATTTCACAAATGAACATGAAATTTAGGGGATACGGCTATCCTCACGGGATGCATAAAAAAAGTTTTAAAGTTTCAAGTGAAGTCAAAAGATTTCTTTGCAGTAATTTGTTCCATTGGCTGCGCTAGTCTAAACACGGCATTCTGATTAATGTTGCGTTTTTGGAATATGAATTGACTATTAAAATCCTATTTTTGTCCTGCTCAGCCGGGCGGCCATTTTGCCACCTGCTGTTGACTGAAAATGACATCACAGTTGCTCAGGGCTCAGCTAACAACCAATCACAGCTCAACTTGTGAACGTCACATGACCAAACTCAGAAACAATGGAATACTGTTAGCCTGGTGATGCTGCATCAGAAATATTGAAAATAATTGTATTTATTTTTTACTTGTCTTCCCCTTTTAGTATCCCTGTCTTTAATTGAACAAGAAGTCTGCCATTTTGGTTCGAAGCAGCCATTTTGCCCTCAAACGTACCCCCTTAAAAAGTTAGAAAAAGTCTCATCCCTGGAATAGGAAGTCAGCCGTTCATGCCGGTAGCATTTAGCAACAATTCCAATACTGTCATCAATCCTAATCCACCATGTTTGTGACACATGGCCTATTTAGAGTTATTTCCCCTCTCTACAGATCATTTCCTGCCTCCTTATTGTGATGCTTTGCAGCATAATAGGATTGATGTATCTGCGTAATTGAATTCCGGACTCATACGTAATGACGTTCCTGTTGTCTTCTTATTTATTCCACCGCACTCACTGATGATCACAGGCAACAAACACGGTTATTTTGTTCCCCTTCTTTCCCCATCCAAATCCCAGGATGCATTGATTTGTCTTTCCTCATCCTCTTCCTTCCTTCCTCCACACATTCCATCCTCACCCCTCCCTCTCTCTTCCTTCCTCAGAAAAACAAAGGCGGCTAATAGCGCGCTGACAGTGAGCCCGGTGATTGAATTCATTAAGCGAGCACGATAATTGGCAGGCGGCGGTGTGCACGCAGCCCGACTATTCAGAGGACAGCTGTCAAATAACGAGGCTGAGAGAATGCCGTTTATTGTCGGGAGGTAGGGAGAATGTGACACAAGCACCTGTTGTGGCGATAGAGAGGAAAGAGAAAGCTCATTTTCACCACATGTGATATTCAGTGTCTCTACTTCAACTCCCAAACTTGTTGTTTTCACAAAAATGTGGTTGAATTCCAAATCGGGTGATTTAAATATCCCCCCCAAGAAGCCATTTTGAGGCCCGTTTCCCCAAAATGTGTTTAATAGATATAAAAATATATATAAAGGATTGTGTGTCTGTGGTGACAGAAGCCGGAGGAGGACGAGCTCGTGCTGACGCCTGACGGCACACGTGAGTTTCTGACCTTCGAGATCCCGCTCAGCGACTCGGGCTCGGCGGGCCTGGGCGTCAGCGTCAAGGGGAACCGGTCTAAGGAGAACCACGCCGACCTCGGCATCTTCGTCAAGTCCATCATCAATGGAGGGGCCGCGTGCAAGGTTGCTCTACCCTCAAAAATGTTCAGAAAAATGTCGCCAATTTGTTTGATGATACAATATTTACGATTTTAATGTCATTCGAGCCAGTCATAATTAGACGGCATATAATCTTTTTTTTTTTAAAGCTTGGCCAGAACTACTGTTAACTAGTTAACTAGAAACTAGTAGTATAAAATGTAGTGAAGTGTTTAAACCAAAAACAGCAGGGTTTTTTTTTCACCTGATCCACATTTTTTTGAACATTTTTCTATCATGGCACTGCAGTATAATAAACAATAGCAAATTGAAATAATTTACAGTTTGCTTAGCACTGCTGCTGAGCTCTCGCTGCAGTGCTAACGAGTCAGTTAGCATGCTAATGTAGCTGCTGTGTTGTGTATTGTGTGACTTCTGGTCCAGGACGGTCGTCTCCATGTGAACGACCAGCTGATTGCTGTCAACAGCGAGTCACTGCTGGGCAAGACCAACCAGGACGCAATGGAGACGCTGCGCAAGTCCATGTCCACCGAGGGAAACAAGCGTGGCATGATTCAGCTCATCGTGGCCAGGCGTGTCGGCAAGAGGAGCCAGGTGGGTCATTGACCAACAGAAGCTAAAGAAAAAGCTGAACACAGATGAAGTGAACACTTGTGACACCATAGTTATATAGCTTGGAATGTGTAGGGCGTAGGTTTTCAAAAAAAACAGGAAAAATCAAAGCGCAAATGAATGAAGATCAAGTGAAGTACACTGATTCATTGCCTATGAATTTCAAAATGTCACAGAAAAAGTTAAACTTGCAGACATGTTGAGACTTTGGAAGTGTTTGGATTGAGTCTCTTGATATGAATTGGAACTTGAAGTTGTTGAAATTATGAGTCTGTTTTTGCAAAAATTGGGATCTAGTTCCAAATAGTGTCTCATAAAAAGTCAACGCAAAAGCAAAACATGCGCATGTGAGCTCGATATGTCACGATCTTATCACCTGATTTTTAGCTGACGGCAAAAATTTCAAATGGAACAGTAATAGATAAGTCTTAAACTACACAATGTTACTTTTTTTTTTTTTTTTTTTTTTTTTTTGACGAGGAGCAGTTAGAGTGACGGCAAGAGCCACACACTCACACAGGCATGTCTGCATGTGTGCACAATGCTCTCCTGTACGCTGCAGTAGAATGTAAATTGTATTAAGAGCAGCAAGGAGACATGAACGATGTGAAAAAGCTCATTTGTGTGCACGCTCTTTTTTTTCATAATGTATTGCTGAGATACTTGCTCGTCGGGACTCAGTATGGCCAGATACTTTAAACCAAAGACTCAAACTCTTGACTTGGGTGCCAACAAAATGTGATCTCGACATCCCCCATATGAGTCTTTGCAGCTTAACGGAATTAAACTGTTGTACAGTAAGTACCGTTTTGTGATGTTGTCTGAAATTCTGTTTCAATTCTGTTTCTAAGTTTCTACTTTAGCATGGCGAGTTTCCATTCAAAAGCCCTTTGAAATGTCACTGGATTTAAGCTTGCATTGTTCGTCAGGCTATTGAGAGCAAAGTTTTGATTTCTAAAAATTGTCATGCTGTTCGAGGAGCACAGCCCCATTTTCAAGCACCCACTCACCCCCGCCTCGGTTGCACACCTCACCGCCCCAAGTAAACTTGAATAGAAAATAAAAAGCCAACTGTGATGCGAGCTGCGCTGTACGTGTTCTCCATGTCTACAATGTCATGTTCGGACGCAATGTCAGCACCTGAGCCCCTCTGGCAGTCTTTGAGTTGAACGTGCATGCACTGTGAATGTGAGCGTGCACGTGAGCGCCTCTGGCACTTTTCCTTTGCTGCCTCGCTCTCATCTTCTCTCAACCAAACTTTAGATTTCCCCTTGGCCCGTCTACTAATTGAAAGCCTGATTCAAGCTCGGAGCTCTGTTTTGTTTTTATTAAACATGTAGTGTGTGAGTGAGTGCGTGTGCGTGTGCGTGTCACTTGTGCATATGTAAGTGTGTATTAGCTGCATGTGCATGCATTTATTCAGGTTCAAGGCAGCATGGCGGCTTGTCCACGCTTCAGATACAGGGCTGCAGGTGACGCCACAGGCTATTCCAGTGTCTGCACACAAACAAAGACAAAGAAAAAACTTGAATTCTTCCTCCAATAGCACCTGAGTGGTCCTAATGTCACAGATTACCCTGGCAAATTGTGGCATTTTTTTTGTTGTACTTTGTTGTAGTTTGTTTTTTGTTTCTTGCAATATGACCGCAGGTGAACAATTGTTAAAATAATATTGCTACTCAGTTTTCTGACAATCTAAATAACAGAACAAAGAGAGTTGTACATTATATATTTAAAACAAGCACCTAGGCTTGCTCTAGACAAATTTGTTTGTCTTAATGGTAACCATGCAAAATGCGTTAAACTGACTTACAAATAGCGTTGGTGTCATGCTGTTAAAATTCTTTACGACTCTACAAACAAAAATGGTGGAGGAGCACATAGAAAGATTGTAATGCTTCTCGGCATATATTCTTTCTCCTTTATGAATACTGACTACAGTGACTTACTCTGAAGCTGTGGATGTGTGAATCTATAAACTAAGATGGTGGAGTTGCATGTAGAAAGAAAGTGATGCTTCCAGGCATACATTCTTTATCCTCTGAAGACTGACTAATATTCCAGTGACTTACTCAGGAGCTTTGCATGTGCGATTGTTACTGCATAGTCATCAATTTATATGTGGTGTCCACACTAGAAGGAGCAGTGCAATTTCCATTGCAAAAATTCAAATTAATTATCTCATTACTCTGACATTGCAATTTTTTGGGGGTTCGTTTTCTTGGGTAAGAGAAATCCCATTCATTTCAGTAGTGAAAGTGGAGTTGGGATACATTTTGAGAGGTACCTTTGTGTATTATTTGACGTCCCCAGTGTGATTTTTCTTAAGATTAAAAAAAAAAAAACAGTAGCCAGAAGCTAGCTTTTCGACTTTTTTCAAATGTGCCTTTGGATGCGGCAGCGTAATATGATGTGCGAAGGCTTTTATGCATACGTGACACGCACTTGACATGTAGAATCAAATCATGTGTTATTTACCTTCCTGCCTGCGGCTCGCCTCCCGAGGAGCCAATTTCCAATCGCAAATGTTTGCATAAATCACACACGTGACTGCACCCTCCCAAATCCTCCATCCTTCTTCCATCTTCAATCCTAGCCAACTCGAAGCGGCCACCTGACGAGATCCAGACCTTCCCGCCGCTTAATTATCTGTCTGAATATGCAACACGCTGTACTGTGGCTTGTCCGCGCTCCCTCGGCGTAGCGAATCGCACACCCAACGGCTCGAACCCGCCAACCCCACTCCCCCCAACCCCCTCCAACCCCGTCACCCCCTCTGCTATTACCTCAGCCGGCCAAATTCATTAACTAGCTCATTTCAAGTCAAGAGCAACACACAACAACACCTTGGAAAACCCTCAATATTGTCTTTTGCTCCATAATATTCGGAACACCTTGAAATGTGATGCAGTGCGCTGCTTTTTAAGGTGCAAGATATACAGTACAATACCCATGTGTACTATTTCTACAGCTGCAGCGGTAAGGTATCTAAAATTTACCACAGATGTGTTTTTGAATTCGCCACCGGTGCGGTGTGTCTAGAAATATCTTGATTAGAACTGCAGCGACTGAATATTTTTTGAATCGATTATACTATCGATAGAGCAAGTAATCAGATAAAAATGTATTTTTGCATCATTTAACAGCAAAATATTCACGTGAGCTGCAGGTATAATAGTTGTCCACATGGGAACGCTATACTCATGTTCGACACTGTAGTATCTGTGACTTGAAGTGAGTGTGGCAGTGCGTTTTTTTTTTTTTCCTCCCGCAATACACCGTGGGTGCGTTGTTTGTAAACGGTTGCGTCGACCTCTCAACAATACCGACTCAAGGAGAGTCTTATCGCTTGTGACGCGGCGCAGACAACGATGCTAATCCTCATCGCTCCGGCTGTCGCCGTCTAGACGGTTAAATGCAGCAAACCGCAGCCAATCAATACGGCCAATGATCCATTGGACACACAAGCACAAACACACACTGCCCGCAGAGTCCAGGAATGTGTGCTTATGGATAAGAGGAGCACAAAATGGTCAATTTGTCGGGCTAAAGTGGAGTCTCATCACAAGTCCCCGAGGGGAACGTCGTCAGCATGCTGGCAGGCTAATCAGAAAGCCGGCCGCTGGCTGGCCAATTGGAAATCCATCCTCATTTATCCCAGTTATTTCACTGCTAGCATTAGCATGCATCCTGCTGTCTGTTCATTACTGGTGCGATGGAACGAAGTCACTGGCGATTTGTTTGGAGAAACGATTCAATGTTATTGCTTGGTGCATGCAAAGCAGTTCACCTTATGGCATGATATAATTTCCACCAATTATGATACAATACAATTTACTCCATTGTGTTGACAATGCATTATGATTCGCTCAAATGGCATTTATATGATTTCGTCCATTCGCAATGCAATACAATTCACTACATTGACAAAACAATTCACATTTGTGATACGGTTCACTCAATTCGTGACTCTCCATTTCCAGGTACGCGATGTATGCAATCGACTCCATTTATGATATGATTCGCTCAATTTTGATACTTTTCACTCCAGTTCTGATGTGAAACGGTTTCGTTCCGCTTCAATTAATTTCATTTGAAACAACTATTTGCTCCCTTTATAGTCTAATTTACTCAAATTCCGGGTTACGCTCCATTGCATTTACTGTACGATATCATTCACTCCATTTATGATACAATTAGCTCCACTTTATAAGTGTAACCCCATTTACAATTATAATCCATTCCATTTCCGAGATGATTTGCCCCATTTGCACCTCCACTAACTCCATTTACGATACAATTGACTCCTTTTATGACTCCTTACAATTCACTCCATTTGTGATAGGATTCCCTCCAGATACCATACAACACGATTTGATTGACTCCGTTTTCAGTGCAATACAATTCACTCGTATTTACAATACAATGTGGTTAAATCTGGTTCCATTTTATGATCCGATTTACTCCAGCTACGAAGCAGTATCATACATTTCTGTATTTGTGATGCAGTACTTTTCCTTGCATTTAAAACACAGTAGGAATCGCTAAGTGGTTGTGTTTTGTTTGCTAGGAGCCACCGGGGGGTCCGCTGGGACCTCAGCAGAGCACCAACTCTTTATCTCTGGACGAGCACGAACGTCGGATCTCCCATTCGCTGTACGGCGCTCTGGAGGATCTGGATGACAACTTGATGCCCCGACAAGGCCTTATGCCACGCACTGTTGGTAAGACCTCTTCTCAGGGTTTTCACCAGGTTAAGCTCAGGCAGCATTTTGAAACAGTTTCTGGGTCATCTGTGGTCAAAATGACTCAATAGATGTGGAAAGCCCTCATTGAGTGCTTCAAATGAGATGCAATTCACTGGGATTGTTTCACATTCGTTTTAACCAATCACTTGATAACAAAAGTGCACTCTGTCTAGTTTTGCTCTTGAGGTACCCTGACACAAAGATGCCAATAAGCGCATCGTGTTTGACAATAACCACCCTTTTGATATTTCACCACTCCACTTGATGCCGAAAAGTGCACTCTTCCTAGCTCATCCCTTTCGGTGCTGAGACACAGATGCCAAAAAGTGCGCTCTGTCAAGCCTGGCGCTCCTGACAAAAGAGTGCCGTCAAATTAAAACACGAAAAAGCGTCAACAGAGTCAGCCGTCAATGAAAATGCCAAAGGCTCCCTCCTGGTGACCGCTCAACCACGCAGCACAATATGTCAACTCTGTTTTCATGCAAATTGCCCGTCACTTGACACTTGATAAATGTAAACAACAAAAATCATCTTCAGCTGCAAATGACAGAAAGCGATAATAGGTGAGGTTCGCTCATGCTTGACAAATAAGCCAGAGGACAAGACAGGGATCGCTCAGTTCACCATCGCCATGGCAACAAGCGTAGATCACAGGTGGAGCTAGATGTCTTGTCTTCACAAGAATAAAATCACCTGCAGGCTCTTCTGGACCTTCAAAGTAAAAGTCCAGACGCCTTAAGCTGCAGGCTGCTGCTCGCTGTCTTCACACTCCTTCAATTTTTTTTTTCCTTCTCCGTATTCACACTTCAGACTGCAAGTAGGCTCCACAGCAGGCGTGAAAGGCCTGGACGCCAGATAAGGCCACCAAGACATTTTTTTCATTCCCAAGAGGAGAAGCACAGAAATAGAGGCAGGATTTCTTTTCCCCTCAAGACCGGAGCGTTTGTAGCAAAGACAAAGCCGCACAAAGTTAAAAAGGAATTACAGAGTCAGGTTTTATTCTCGTTTGAGGTGGAAAAGCACTGACTGTCGCTCCTCAGACTAAGAAGATGACAACCAAAGCAGAGCATTAAATGGACTTTCCCATCGTGTAAAAAGCAACGCATTACACCTGACAACGCTGTGCACCTTTGTCGAAAGCTCAAAATGATTCCTGGTGATGCATTCGTCCGCAAACTTACCACCTACCTTCACTTTACACGCTGAGTTTCCACATCGCCTTGTGATTAAATAGCATTGAAATTTAGTGTTATCAATTTGCATCGGAATTGAAGTGAATTGCATCGTTGTAATAAATCACACTATTGGAATTGTTGTGAAACGAGACTGAGCTGTATTGAATTCTAATTGGAGGAAATCACGCATCGCAGTTGAGTGAATCGTATTGGCGTTGGAGTGAATTGTATAGCTTCATAATTTTAGTGAATCGTGTCAGACTGGCCTAAACGTTTTTTTTCCTTGAATCTCAAAGTTGACGTATTGGTTTTCCACCAGCATTGATGCGAGACACAACAATATACCAAATCGGGAAATAATTCCCATTTGATGTTATTGAAAAAGCGATGTTAGCAGACAAAACTGCAAATGATCATACTATTTCCTAACGTCGCCATCTACTGGCCTTGCATGCATGTTACAGTAGTTTTACTCGTTTTGCAGGTCTGTGTGGAGTCACTTTGACGACATTAAAGGTTTTTAACAATTTTACTTGCTCGTGGTTCTGCCTTTGATTCCACCACCTGGCTCACGCTACCTTTTAAATCAGTATGCCAAACATATGGTTAGTGTTTCTTGAAAAGCCTCTCAAAAGCAGCACCTGGGACATGATGAATAATAGTTTTCATGGAACAATAGCTAGCTGACATTTTGCTGGAGGAGATGGAGATGACAGGAGGCTCTGAAAAGAGCCGTAAAAAGGTGAGCGTGACATCTCTTCATTGTGTTTCCTTCTCTTTGCATAATTAGAAGGGAGCTTGTTGAATACATTGAGTCACGTGTTTTAACTGAGCTGTACAGTTGACGTCAAGTATGAAGTTCAGTTGACTTGCATTTCCCCATTGAAATGAATGGGAAAACCCTTCAATTGTTTTGTTTTTCTGAAACACGTCGCAAAAACATGCTTTAATTCAGCGGGCCTCCTTCTGATGGGCTTTCCCTGGCCACCGGGGGCAGTATAATACAGACAAATATACTGCACATATATTGAATGATGAAACAGAAGAAGAAGGTTGCAACTAAGCTACTGTAATATTTGTCATTCTTTGTAGATGATAAAGAATACATGCCTGTGATCATTTTTGTTGCATGCTTTATCTATATGTCCGATGTCTATATAAGTAGTTTAAATGTCTGGTAGGGGCCACCACATCAATACTAGCGTCATGATTCAGATCATGGCATTTTGCATGGTGTTTTAGCTTGAGGCTCGCCAGTAAACTTCAAGCGGGAGTGACAATAAACAGCTTGAAGCCTCTTTTTTTTTTGAATGAATGAATTGCTCACTATCTGCCAAACTGCTGCATGTTGTTGAGATGTGATCCAATTCACTCCCAACTGTGCACACGTTAATTAATTCAGTGTGCTGCTAAACGAGTGTACATTTTTATGGGGCACTGTGCATGTTGTGATGATTCACTCTTAATTTATAATAGTTATAAATGTTACTCTCTTTCATTACGGCGCACTCTGATTTGCTAGAATTTCAATGCATGTTACGATTTGCTGTGCTGATTATCGGATTCCCTCCGATTATGAGAATTAGAAGTGGCTCCGTTATGATGTAATTCAACGCGACACAGTGTGATACAAATCCCCTCGTTAATGTCCGATTTTCTGATTTTACGTAACTGTTTTGATTGATCAGTCATTCACCCCCCACTAAAAAAAATCAAACAAACTTGAGGTCTGCGCATGAGGCGTCATGGTCCTTAAATCTCTCCTTGTGCCGCCTCCCCCAACCCCCAAAACCAATTTAGGAGCGGAGATTAACGACAAAGTCTTGCAGTGTGTATCAGTGAGGGTCTTTAAGGCCGGCTTTTCAGCGCAGAAGAGCGCCGACTTATTTTGTTTCCCCACCTCAGTCAGCGCTGAAGTTTTTATCTTCATTAGCGGCGATAGCGCAGCTTGAATTAATCATGCTCTTGTGACAACAAAACGCCGCTCTGCCCGATAACAAACTCTCTAAGCTGATTAGACGGCATCACATCGCCTTGCCTTTACGCGCCGTCCCCAATATGTTATTTTATTTAAAATGTCACCCTCTGCTTTTTGGTTTTCTCTTGTCTTCCTGATCTTTTCCTTTGAGTCATTCTGGTGCACTCTCACAGTGTTTGTCTTGTCACAGTTTTGAAAGGAATAGAATCATAAATGGAGTGAATTGAAGCGCAATTGGAGTGAATCATCGAAGATTTTTCGGAAATTGTAGACTGAATGAATTGTATGCTCGGGCATCTGGTTAGGATGCCTCCTGTGCTGCATATTCTATCGAATGATTTTGTACTGTCATTGGAGTGAATCACACCATATCATCATTTGACTAAATTTATTTGGATTCTATCTTATCACATCATCACTGGGGTGGCTCATCAGTTGTGAATCGCCTTGTGTCGGAATTGGACTGAACTGTGGCTGCTCTGCAGGCAACTACCAGCTATCTCCCACCGTCAACATGCCACAGGACGACACGGTCATCATAGAGGACGACGGGCCGCCGCTCCTCCCTGCTCATTTGTCCGACCAGTCGTCGTCCAGCTCCCGCGACGACGTCGGCGGAAGCGGCGGCGACGTTACGCCATCCTGGGCGCAAGAGAGCCCCGCTCCTAAGGACAGGTGGCAAAGGAAGACATTTACATTCGCATCAGTCTTGTCATATTTTTTGCATCCATATTTATTCATCTCATTGAATACTTGGTTAGTTGATGTGTTGTAAATTGTAGGAAAAAAAAGACGATAATTATAATATTTTCTTTATTTTAAATATTAACCTATTGCGTTACAGAACGTCATTCTTTATCAAATAAAACATGAGTATGAAACATATTTTTACATAGACTACAAAATATTTTAAAAAATAATTACATTAATTAAATATGAAAAACATAAAATTGACATTTATTATTTTGTAACAATTTAGCATAAAAAATGAAAATAATTTTGGGGTATTTATGGGTGTACCAATCGATTGGCCAGGATCGATATCGCCAGCAATTTCAACCGGCAATCGTGATCAATATTTCTTTCTATTTGCCACCCAGCTCACAGATTGCGGGCGAGAGCCTCGCCAACGCAGACGCCGCCTTCCAGCGAGAAGGTTTCGGCCGCCAGAGCATGTCGGAGAAGCGCACCAAACAGTTTGGCGACGCCTCGCAGCTGGAGATCATCAAGACGCGCAAGTCCAAGAGCATGGACCTCGGTAGCTACTCCACACACTCAAAACACTCCCACAATTAGCCTTAGCCATGCATCGAAGTTAAGAATGTGGGGCTGGGCGGTGAATCAAACAAAGAGGAGCTCGCTTGCAAAATCACTGTCACCGTTGACGACTTGGGCATTTGGTCTTACCTTTAATTATTATATGTTAATAGTAGTAAATCATGATATTCATTTACATGAAGACTTTGATCGATGACCTTGTTCACTGCCGTTGATAGGCAGTGACCTCATATGCCGATAGTATCAAACTGGGAAGGCTGGCAGTGAATGAGGTAATTGTATTTTATTGAACTTTATTTAACTTCAATTTAAAGAGTTATCAAGGAAAGAAACAGCTCAAGATCAACATGCAACATTGCTTTCGTACAACTCTCTGCAAGTGTTTACATTTTCACATGAACCCTTTTAAAGCTTTGCTAGGAAATAACAATGTCAGGCCTGTGGGCTAATCATGTGCTCCCAGGTTAATATTTTAAAAGGTTAATTGAATTGTAATTGGAATACTGTCATGTTGTGTGTGTGTGTATGTTAATAAGCGTATGGTTGGAAAATTGCAAATGGATTTCCTATGAAAGGGATTTAATTTGTCTATATTGCCCAGCCCTACAGAAAAGGGTTAGCATTCGTTGTCAATTGTTTGAGATGATCAGGGCTCAATCCAAACAGTGAAACATCAAGCCAAGCTAACTTTTCTCCCTCAACTCTTCCAACACCTCATGCATCATCTTCTTCAAACTCTTCCTCTTTGGCCCAAAATCTGGAGTTTGCTCAACGTCTTGTCTCCTTGAAACGCCCCCTCCCATCCGGCTTTTCTTCCTCATCAATAACGTCTCCTTGAAACGCCTCCTCCCATATGGCTTTTGTTCCTCATCAATAACACTAAGTTCATCCCTCTGTCTCTCCATTCTCATCCCTCCGTCCTTCCATCCGTTCAGCCACTCACCCGCTACTCTGGCACTCATCCCGTCCGTTACGTTTGCTGACGTTTGTGATGTTTGCTGTGGCGGGATGTTGCATGAGGAATGTCATGAGCACTAACTGAAGCCCCGAATCTTTTGCCCCCCCACCCCATCTTCCACTTCCTTTAACAGTAGCCGACGAGATTAACCTCAACCCTCGTCCTGACGCCGGCACAGGTAAGGCTAGTAGCTAGTGGGAGCGCTACATTCTGGCGTAGCCTCAAAGACCTTCAGAACTGCCAAATGACGGAGTTAAATCACCTTTTGACGCTCCAAATATCAACTTTTATTTTGAAAGATCCTCAGTGGCCCCATTGCGTTCATGTCCTCTGATCACGATCCGTCATCTGTATTTGATTGCTGTGATTGATGAGGGGAGCTTAATGGATTGCAGTGGGGTTTTTTTTTTTTGTTGTTTTTTTTTAAATCTTCTTGAGTTCAGTGAGTTGATACAAAAAGCAGCAGCACATCATGCACTGCTTTTGAGTGATGTATGATTGCCAACATCAGCCAGTCCAATCGTTTTGTTTTTGTCTTTTTTGTTTTGTTTTTTCTTTTCTAGTTCAGTGAGGCATAACATGAAGCACTGTCATCAGTTTGATGAAGTTGGACCGGTCCAATGGTTGTTTTGTTTGTGTTTCTGGGTTCAGGGAGCCATGGCAATGAGCAGCACATCATGCACTTCGTTGACTTTCCACCCATCCATCCATTAAACAATCTTATTTCCATGAAAATTAAATCACAGATCAACTTTCAATGCATCCGTATCTTCCTTACCTCTGTCAGAAACAGCAGCGAGCAGCATGTTATGCCATGCGCCACATCTTGACAACACATTTTTTTCCCCCCCAAATATATCATCCAACTACAACCAACCATTCTCCAGACAGTCTTTTTTTCCATCTTCCTGAGTTTTGGGATATCATCGGCATCATATCATGCGCTGTGCACTAAATAGTGAGAGGTGCGTCTCTGCAATGTACAACCAATACAGTCTGAGCATTCATCAATTATCGTTGTGTTGGAGAAAGAACCTAATTGATCCGTGATCATCCAGAAGCGAGATATAAGATGTAAAATACGCAACTTCTGTGAAATGCTTACAACAGACACCAAATGCAAACGTGTACATCGTAAAGGAGATATTTTGCAAATTTTTTCCACAATTTAAAAGCGTTCCCACAAGACCTTATAAGATTTCTCTTCCATGGTTTTGTCAAAATACCCTAAGAATCAAGAGTCAACAAAATAATAAATTTTTCAATCAGGGTTGTAAGTGAACTTTTCTGCATACATTTTTTTTTGCGCTGACTCTTAATCTGCCCTTTTTTTCCCCTCGAGCTCACCAGGTCATCATTATCTAATCATAATAATCATAACAATAGTTCATAATATAGTAATACAGTAATATATTTGAATTACAGATGAGGTTCAGCAACAGGTGAATTTTTTCCAGAAATTCTGTATTTCACCAGTTTTTATTGGTCAAACTTCAAAACAAAAAAATGACAATGGCTCAAAAACGTGATGTGCAAGTAAAAAAAAAGTAAAGCCATTTTTAAAATCAGCGTAAAAAATATGTTAAGACACACGCACACGCACACACACACACACACACACACACACACACACACACACACACACACACCAAGTCATTTCTGATTAAAATTTGCTGTTGACCAGTGGAATGCAAGAGACAGTTTTACAGTATATTGCTTGTGGTCGAAATTGGCTTGTTTCAAGGAGCGGCTCTGTGTCCGGCAAGGGGCCAATGGCAATCCTAGTTTTCATTTGATTGCCACAGTAATGCTAGTGCAGCTTTGCTTACCTTGAGGCTTTGACGTGATGGCGTTTGGGCTGTTGCATCAAAGTGGTTCTTTGCCTCTGGAACTTCATCCAGTTTAGCTGCCAAGTCATTGATGGAAGAACCCTGTGTGTCGGCGGATTATGTAAATTCGTCAAACTGTAACATCACAGTGGTATCACCTTCAGAAGGGCTCGCTCAGACATTTTCGAATATATTTAATTCGTTTAATTTCACACACGATGGGTAGGCGGTATGCAAACATTAAAACTTCAATTTTCATTCAAATGTCCCCTTTTCAAATCCATTGTAGCGACAGTGGAGCCAATAAAAGTTCTTGTGCGGATTTATGAACACCTGAGAGTTTTTTTTTTCCCCCCTACCGCATGAAAACCCAAACTATCTTCTTGAGATTTTCAGTCTCCTCAGAGGCGGCTTTAAAATAATCCCGCACGTGTAAATAATGCACGCTCTGTTTGACGGAGACCAAACAAGACATGGCGCCTTGCATGAACGACCTTCAGCTGGCTTGTCGCCCGTCATGCGTGTCAAAGTAGAATGTATGTCAAAGGTGGACCGCCATGCCAGACAGAAACAGACTTGAAACCAAATCAAGGCTGCTTGCCTCCCTTACCAAATGAAGAATTTCTTGAGTTGAAAAAAATGTGTGTCGTATTTGTTCTACTTGTAGAGCCTGAGGAGTATTAGAAATTATACTCGAAGAAGTTATGATCCTGGTAGTTAAACTTCCAGGTTTAGGAAGTATAGAAGTGTTAGTAAACGTATGAGTAGTGGTAGTAGTTTTATTTATTTATTTGTTTGTTTGGGGGGGGGGGGCAAAAACGTCAGCCCCAAACAACCCCCACTCTGTCGATTACTTTCCTAAGGGCACTTTTAAGTCGGGCTTTGTGATTAAATGACGGAGAATTGTGGTATGATGCTGACCAGCCGTGCGACGCGGCGGAACTGTGCATGACTCCAGCCAGTCAGTGTCCAGCTTTTGCTTCTCTACTTTGGTTTGCAAGTTGAAGAAGTAGCCAGAAAGCAACAGACATCAATAAACAATGGCCGAATGCTCAACTCAATGCGCAGCTGATGGACAGCATGACTTAGCGTTATCTTTCGAAGATAACATGAATAGTCCTCACCATCGCTTATGTGGCCGTATATCCAAAGCCACGTGGAGTAAATGAAGCCATCGCGCAAGGTATGTCCATGTGTGCGATAATTGGTATCAATAGTAGTAGCTGTAGAAGTTGTAAAAGGTGAAGATGTGGTGGAGGTAGAAATGGTGGTAGTTGGAGAACTGCAGAAGTCATCAATGTCGTATTAGTAAAAGAAGTAGTAGATAAAAAGATAGTAGTTGTGGACACACTAATCCAAGTAGTCAAAGTCACAATAAAGGAACGAGAAGATAGTATTAGGCAGCAGGAGTCGTGGTAGTACTAGATTAGTAGTCGTGTTTGTAAGTTGTGTGGGTTTGACCTTTTAGTGTGTCTTTCGGCAGGATGGGCCACGAAGTAAAGGGGGGAGTGTACGGTGGCCATCAACAGGGAAAACACATACATTTTGCTGAGTTAGTGTTGACATGAATACGATGCACTCAGTAGATTGCAATGAAGTGAATACAAATGCGTGTTGGAACATTTTGCCGACATATCAATAAAAATTGTTGCTAGACGGAAAGTTGTTTAAACTCGGAGGGGGCGGGGGTTGACATAATCAATATGGGATTGTGAAAGGATTGTCTTTCGTTGTGGGCTTCGCCACTTGCATGACCTCCTAACAAACACTGACCAAGATGCATCCAATGATCAGCGGCCACTCGAGTCCTTTTTTCAGGCAGCACGTCCCCAACAACCAAAATGCAGTTGGCCACAAGTCGACTGTGCCAGTAATGACAAAACAAGTTTATTGTCTCTCATAGAGCATATTATGGAGGTAACAATAGTGAACATAGACTTTCTCTGTCCATGACAACCATGTAAGGTAGACTGAAAATCAATTAAATCATTTTTGGAGGTTTTTTTTCTGTCTTTCCTTCAAATGAGACAGACATGCAATTAAATCCATTAAATGTTGTAATTGCTTAACAACGCTTGACTGTTTCACTCAGCGCACTGGAATGCATTCAAATCACCTGTCAGCCTTTAGAACAAAAGCTGGCTTGAGTTCAGACAAGCACACAATTGGTTTCTCTGTTAAAAAAAAAAGTTAAATGTGATTCTCATGACAGTCTGCTTTTTTTCTTCCTCCCAAAAAAAATAATAATTTGGCATCTTAAAGGGAATAAAGATGCATTATTTACATTTTCAACACATTTGGACCACTGCATATTTGCGGCTTGGCCTTTTTCGATTTCGCCTATTTTCTTTTTTTTTTAACTGTCTTCAGACTTTAAAGCAAATGCTATCTAATCTGTTGAAAAGAAACTTTCCCTGAAATGCACCTGTCTGTGTTTGTTTGATTCAGGCTCGTCCACGAGGGATGTGGGTCCGTCGTTGGGCCTGAAGAAGTCCAGCTCCCTGGAGAGTCTCCAGACAGCCGTTGCCGAGGCGACGCTCAACGGCGACCTGCCATTCCACCGCCCTCGTCCTCGCATCATCCGGGGCCGCGGCTGCAACGAGAGCTTCCGCGCCGCCATCGACAAGTCATATGACCGGCCAGCCGCCACGGAGGACGAAGACGATGGCATGGAGACCCGTAAGACGTCCGTCATGAAACCCCCACGTCTCTGTGCCGCCGATCACACATTTTTTGCCTTCCATACCAGGTGTTGGGCCGGTTGACGTACCCCGGCGAGGACCTCGGTTACCACGTAACTTACCGCCTCGTGCCTGAAACTGCATTGTGATGCATGGGCGTGATAGCATCTTTGCTAACAACTGGACGCTAACCGTTCATGTTGATTTTGCGAGTTGTGAACAACAGCTTTAGGTCTTACCCTTATTATCATCATCACATCACCGTGCAGTCATTCCCAACTTTTATTCAGCACTTTATGGTTACTTTCTTAGCTGAAGTTACTTAACTCATTCACTCCCAAAGACATATTTAGATGTCTTTTCAGACGCCACACATTTAATCCCAGCTCCTTATTTTATATTGACTGTACTTGAAAAGAGTCTGAAAATGGCCAGCCATTCTTAATATGTTCGCAAAAAGTGTTTCCGTAACCACAACTTGGTTACTAGCTAATCTAACATTGTGGTCTGCATCTTCACCTTATTGTCAGACATCACAAACAGGAGGAAGAGAGCAATCCTGTCACTCATGTGCAATCAGATTTGTTCAGCACTGTAGACCCAAACCCAAAAGGTTCCATGACCTTTCAAAAGTACTACCCCACTATCAAGGACTTATTTTTCTCCCCTCAGACCTATATATAAAGAATGGTTTCCTCACAGCATGAATGTGTGTGTCTTGCAGTGGAGGAAGACACCGAGGAGAGTTCCCGTTCAGGTCGAGATTCCGTGTCCACGGTGGCCGAGTTGACGCCGCTGTCACCGGGCGGCGAAAGGACGACGGCGACAATGGTCAACGGCAATGTGAGAGCCAAAGATGACAAGAAAAACGACAAAGGTGGCAGGGACAAGAAGAAGGGGGACACGCAGAAGGAAAAAGACAAGGACAAGGGAAAAGCCAAGAAGGGAATGCTCAAAGGACTTGGAGACATGTTCAGGTAACATTAGATGCTGGCTCACCGGCTTCGTGTCGGCGAATAAGTTTGACTTTTGACAAGAATCATTCTCCGAAAAGGATCGATGAAGAAGTCGTGCTGATTGCTAAGCAAACCCAGAATTGACAAGTAATGGAGTGTTTGGGTGACTGCGTACACTTTGTACGATTGCATTTGGACGATTCCAGGTTTGGGAAGCACCGCAAAGACGACAGGATGGATCGCAAAGGTTCCAGCAAATGGCGGACAGAGGAGACGCAAGTTTCGGATGAGGAGACGCTGAAGATGAGGATGGAACAAGAAAGGTGACATTGATTCATTCCGATTATTTTTAAATGCAGTAATTCACACAAAAAAAACCCAAACATTTTTGTCAATATTTTGTGATCTTTTTTCATAGGACAACACTGAAGAAATACTGGTAACTGTATTGCTATAATTTAAAACACTCCATTTAATTTGCCCTCAAAACAACTCTGCTGGCAACAAAAGTGAGCCCACCCCTAACTGAGAATTTATTAAATCCGCCCACAGTGATATTTTTCTTGCAGCCACAAATGTGCCGACTTGTTTGATAGAATTAAATAGGCATCCATGACTCGCCGTTCTGAGTGATTAAAAACCATTTCTGGGGTTGGCAGGATCCAGGCCAAGACACGAGAGCTGCGTGAGCGTCAGGCACGGGAGCGGGACTACGCCGAGATCCTGGATGCGGGTCGATCTCCGGAGAGGTCCTCTGAAGACGAGCACCTGTACGCCGGCGTCAGCCCACTCAACAACGGCGGGCACGGCAGCCCCCGCGGCAACTGCCATGCCGCCCGCGATGACCACGAGCACTACCCCTGCTTAAATGCTCACCAGCACTTGGACTCCCTCTACACACAAGTCAGCAAGGCACGGCCCGAAAGACCGCCCTCTGCAGACAGGTACGTCGACTCAACACCATTTGCTGTTTTGTTGCGTATACTGACCACTGATTTGGGTCGGTTACATATGACTGCTTTTGTCACGTCACGCGAGGACACGTAATCATCGACGGGAGTGGCTGGGAGGGGCCGGCGGCCGTCACACGTGAAAGCTAATCGGTGATCGGGGGCGGCAGTGATGCGGTTCGACCGGCCAGGAAATAGACTGGCCATTTGGAAAAAAAGACACATTGTCCCCAAATTCCCGATGGTTAGCACACCCTTGCTGATGAGCGTCCGTTCGCCATTTTGTGTCTTATTATGTCTTTATGTCTGCTGACTATAGCCATCCACTTGCCGCCTTTTTTCTGCATGTGTGACGGGACAGTCAGTGTGCGACCTTTCCACCAGTTCATGTTGGTATTTGTGTGAAAGGTCTTAGCGGGCTCATTCTGGTGAGCCTGAGGCGCAAACTAGAGCGTCGGTCATCACACCTGCAGGAGAAAGTAATCACAAGATGGCCGCTAAATGTCAGCACACAATGCAGCCTTCCCCTGGAATGAAACCTTTGCAACGTCTGACCTTTTTTCTTTTTTTTTTTTTTTTTTTAACTTTGCACTCTTGCTTGCTGACCAGCTGTCATATTTTCACTTCTACTTGAGACGTAACAGAATCCAGCGAACACAGAACCGACATATATATGGATAATCAGATGATCCACGAAAAATAGTTGTCTTCGTGCTAACGACAACAAACAGCAAAATGTCATGCGCAAAATGGCATCAAATAATGTGGCATTAATTGGACAAGATGGCTTTAAATAAGGTGGCATGAAATCACGTATATGGTTTCAAAGTATGGCATCGACTAATGCACTTCAAATATTACCTGGGAATGTCATTTTAGCGTGAAATTGTTGCCGAACAGCTACATTTATAAAATCTGGTTTTGACGCACAGCTTGAAAGGCTCTCAAGTGTTCCCCTGCTGCTGTTGCCATGGCGATGACACAATAACAACATTGTTGCCAACTCCACGAGGATACTGTGTCCATTCCCACCGCTGCAATCCTAAAATAAATACCCTCCCGAGATAGAGAAACAGAAAGTGGATATCCTTCGCGCGCACCCCCTTAGAGGAAAGGAAGTGAGTACGGTATTTGGGCGATCGGAGGGGGATGTTTGTTAAGTGGCCAGTCCAGTGGCACTAACATGATAAGTACAACATAAACAGTGTTAGGTTTCATGGGAATTGCTGTGAGATTAGTTTTTTTCCAAAGTTCAGAAGTTTGTAATTGTTGAGTTTGATGCCACCACACTGACATCAAAGTCCATCGTGAATGCTGTGTTCAAACATAAGGGGGGTCCATATGCGGACTTGGCACCAGGACACCCTTGGCCGCAGTTCGATCGTTGACCTTGTGGTCGTATAAGCGGATTTGCGAACGCATGTTTTGGACACTCGGGTGAAGGGAGGGGCGGAGCTATCAACTGATCACCACTGGTGGTGAATTGACTCCCAATGGTGGGGAAAGATGCCGGTCCGACGCGTTGTGACGGTTTGTTGGGAGCGTCTGGCAGAATCCCCTGTCAGGAGGAGTTTCAACTCCCACCTCCGGCGGAGCTTTTCCCACGTCCCGAGGGGAAGGATGGGGGACATTGAGTACTCTATTGTTGAGGCGGCCCATCGTAGTTGTGGTGATTCCAAAAATCAGTATACTGTAGTCCATTAAATAACCACAAAACGAATCAATGGTTTATTGCTTAAATATTGAAGGGTGAGGTGAACCCACAAAATAAGTACTAAATTCTCCAGGTACAGTACAACCTTTTAATCAGTTGAACCCCAAAATCATAAAAGTAAGTCATACATTTAATTAATCGTCCAAAATATTAGAAGCGATATTGTGTACAAGCGAGAAATGAGAACGACCACATCTTTTGTTGCTGCAGTACCTCGAGAGCAGCACTTTGAGACCAAATTGGTCAACTTGTTGCTGAAGATGTGTGCTAGCTCACCCGCTGCCAGATGCAAATATTTTCTCCTTCTGAAAATAACTCATCTGCCTTTGAAATGCAGGCAGGGCTGTTTTCTGTTGCCGATATTTGGTCCCGCCCTTTGGCCCTTGCTGGAGAAACCTGTTGGACTTTTCTTGCTCCCTCGTCTTGATCCTGCCAAACTAAAATATTCTGCAAAGCTCAGCACAAATGTTTTCCCGGGAAGAATGTGGGGTGGATGATTGACATCTAGCACGCCGTCGTAATCCCCACACAGTCAAAGCGGAAGGCAATCCTCTTTTTTTTTTTTTTTTCTTGTTCAAGTGCTGAACTGGTGACAGCTAAGTTATTGTTTGAAAGCTTTATCCGCAACAACAAAAACAACACTCCTCGCTCCTCTTTGAATGATCATGAGAATTAACCGCCTTTTTTTTTTTTTTTTTTTTTCATCCTCCACTCGGAACGCTGAGAGAAAAGCTCCCGGGGATTTGCAGTGATTTGATTCCCGGCTCTTTATTGAACGGCCTCCATTACGCTTCATCTGCTCCGAGGGAATAAAATAAAAAGGAAGATACCGCCTGCAAACAAACCAGCTGCGTCTCTTTGACTTGCCTCTCCTGTCTGCCTTTTCACAGCCCGATAAGACTTTTTTTTTTTGATGTTTACGTGCTTAACATGATTTCTTGTTGTAAACAGTGAGGCTTAAAAGACTTTTCAAAAGAACGTCACTGCGAGGTGGAAACTTCCTCTGTCCAAATAAGGCACATTTTTAAAATCTCTAAACTCTGTTGGACACTCAAACTGTCTGAAAAGTGTCACCAAAGTGCACCCCTTCCCTCACACTGTGGGAGCTGTGCGGCATTATGCCGCCTCAAGATTGAAAGTCTGGATGTTGTTCAGACCATGAGTAGTAATGTAATGCTTCGGAGCGCAAAGAAATGGTCAGCTATGAAGGTCAGCTGCATACAGAGTAAATAAATTGCGTGTTGAAACATTTCTTTTTTGACACTTTGCGCTGGCTAAAATTTGTTTTCAAATTGTGCTCGATCCCTCTCAAACCTTTTTCGAACATTTGAGTGTTTCCATCTGAGCGCAAAATGGCTGCTTCGAACTAAAATGGCCGACTTCCTGTTCAGTTGCTTGGTCCTTGAAATATTTTTTGTGTGTCCTATTCTGGAACACCGTACCCTATTTTTTGTTGATTAGTGAAGTTGTTGCAGGGGCTTATTTATTACTTTGAATTTAAAAAAAAAGAAAAAAAAGGATTCTGAATCATCTTTCCAGAATCTCTGGTGAGAGCATCGCATGCCACAATTTTTTTTATTTATTTTTTTGTTCCGGGGGCTTCTTACCGACACTTGGCGTTCACTTTAATTTCCTGAACACTCATCAAGTACATCAAGAGAAGGAACATTTTGTGCCAAAGTAATCGAGTTCTACTCAACACCTGAGAGGGACGGAGTTCGCCAATCGCGTTGGCTTCATCATGTGCGAACTGGGTGGGCATGGTTGGGAACAGAACGTCTGGCGGCTTCGCCAGAGGGGTCGCCGTCGCTCCGCACGCGGGAAAAGCTGATGACGCAAACTTGAATGTTGACGGACCTTCGCTGCCGGCGTGCGATGCGAGGCGCCTTCCTTCGGTACTCTTAACTTTGGCAGGAAAGTAGCCACCTCAGCAAAGGAAGGATTTGCACAGCTCGGCCTTTTTTTTTTTTTTTGCTTTGCTTTTTGCTGCTTTCGTAGCTCGGCTGTGCTTGATCTTCTCTTTTCTCCCGTTTGGTTTGTACTTCACTAGCCGCTTCGGGCTGTGTGTTACCCACAATGCAACGCTCCACTAATTTACCCTCATCCTGCAAATGAGTTCAAACTGCAAATGTTGCAATTGTTTCTACCAATGCGACATCAGCGTGTAATAGTTTCAATGTTGTTGCTATGGCGACCACAAATCATCAAGATTAACGATCTGTAGCCAACCACCCAAAACACTTCAGATCTCATTTATCCTTTTCCTTCACACCAATCATTCAGTCAGACCTCAGCAATATAAGTAATAATTTTTTAATGGATGTGAATTCAATTTTCTGATATGAAGGTCTTATTTCATTAAAAATGACTCCTTATATCCAACATTTTTAGCATCATGGAGATCTGAATGAGTAGAACCACCAATGATAGCTTGGTTATAAAACAAATATTAGCACGGCATTACTTAAAGATTTAATAAGAAAAAAAAATGTTACGTAAGTAATATTGACTCGACATCACAGCCGCCTGACTCTAGTGATCAATCATGAAGTCCTAAATTTGATTGTGGTTGGCTTCATTCAACGTCAGTTTTATTTTTAAAATACTGACAAAATAATGTTGTCACTTCCGTATTTTGGTGTATTATTAATCCCTTGTCGCGCACTAATTATGATCATATTTTGTGAATGAGAAGTCTTAAAAAGATGAAAAATTCGACTTCCTTAAACCAGCCATTATTTGACCCCCCCCCCCCCCCCCCCAAAAAAACCAAGGGATTTTTTTTTTTTTTTTTTTTTGAAAAATTGCTTATATAGTGACATCTAAAAATGAGTCAATTTCTTGGTCATTTTTGAGGTGTTCAATTTGATCAAAACAGCCCTCAAAAAGTCTTTAAAACTCTTCAATTTGTCCTGAATATCAAATGTCTTGAATTGAAATAGTTTGATGTGAGGCTTCTAATGGTCACATTTAATATATGAGTGCTTCTCTTACATGCCGTTTACGCAGTGCTAGTTCGCGTGTGCGTTTAGTTACATTGAAGTGGCCTGGCAGCTGTTGTAACACGGCGGCGGGATGACAAGAGCAAATCTTCTGGCTGCCAGCCAAAAACTCCTCGACTGAGTTCTATGCCCACGGGAAGAAACTTTAATGGACGTGGGAGTGGATGCCTCGGTGCACTTAAAAGGTCTGGATGCTGACTGAGGAGATCTCCTCTCAAAGATAGCAAGCAGGTGATGTTTCCCCGCCTCTATATGACATCATTATCGTTGCTCCCAAT